GTTGTGGTGTGTGCATGTGTATGTGCATGTGTGTGATGAAAGTGTGTGAATGGGGTAATTGGGGTGTCTGTATTGTGTGTGTGTGTACATTGGGTGTGTGAATATGTACATTGTGTTGTGTGTGCGGTATGATTTTGTGCAGTTGTATGTGCAATATGTATATGTTTGGTGTTAGTTAGTTGTGAGTGTGGTGTGTATGTGGTGTGCTGGAATATACATAAGGGTGTATGGTGTGGTGGCTATGCATGTACGTGTGTGTTACTGTGATTTTGCGTGAGGTGCGTGATGTTTGTGCTGTATGTGTGTGTGTGTGGGAATGTGTGCATGGGTACTGTGTGTCTGTGTGTGTGTGAACATTTGTGTGTGTGGCGTATGATTTTGTGCGTGTATGTGCGTGTGTAGTTGTCGTGTACATTAGTTGGTGTGTGTGTGTGTATGATTTTGTGCGTGTAGTGGTGTGTATGTGCGTGACGTGTGTGTGGGGAGTATGTTTACGGTTACTTATGCAGGTGTGTATGTGGGTGCGTTTTTGACATGGATGACTGAGTGTGTATCGGTTTGTGAGTGTTTGTCCATAGATTTGGTGTTTGTTTGTGGATGCGTAAGATAATGAAAAATAATTAGTGAGTTTTCTTTTTTTTAACACGCTGACGCCTTGACATAAAACGGCCCGCAGGTGTGATAATACTTTACCGGGCCTGGTGAGGGAGGACGGGGAGAGGAGAAGAACGGAGAATGGGAAGGAGAAGAGGAGAGGAGAAGGGACGGAAGGGGAAGAGGAGGGGAGGGGAGAGAGAAGAGCGGGAGACTGGGAAAAGAAGAGGAGAGGAGAAAGGAAGAGGAAGGAGGGAGGAAGGGGGAGGGGGAATAGGAAAGGTGGGGGAGAATGAATGATTGAATGAGAAGGAAGAATAGAGGAGGGAATGAAAAGACGACGACGAAGAGGAGGAAGAGAGTGTGATGGGTGAGAGGAAAATAGGGGAAGGGGAGAAGAAGGAAGACGCGGAAGAGAGAGAAGAGGGAAAGAAGAGGGGGGAAAGTAGGATGGAGAAGTGAAAAAGAAAGAGGAATAAAGATAGGAGGGAAATAGAGATGAAGAGGAGATAAGAAGGAGGCGGGAAAGGAAAGAAGAAGTGAAAGGAAGAAAACACGAGATAAGGATTAAAAGAGAAGAGGAGCGGAGGAAGAGAATATGAAAAGAAAAGAAAGGAACGAAAGGAAGAGAAAGAGGAGAGAAAATGGAGAGTGAGAGGAAGAGGAAGAAAGCGGTGAGTTTATGAGGAAAATAATGTAACAACAAAAGAAGGGTAATGATGATGACGATAAGACAATGAAAAATGATAAGAGTGATTAGGAATTAGCATAATATGATTCTTTCTTCTGTTTTTACGTTATGCTTACATTTTCGCCTTGAACTCATATTTGTCTGAGGCCTATTTTCATGCACAGAATCCCCATTCCATGCGATTCAGGGCCTGTGAAAGCAATTCCTTTGGTTGTTAAAAAAATAGCGGTGACAATCGGCGCACAAGTAGTATAAGAACACACCACATACACACACGCTTGTGCATCATTTTACGAATCCATGCGACATCCTATTCTAATAATTATTATAATGATGTAATTATTCTATCTTTATATTATGTTGTTATTCTCCGGGCTTATTTCCCTCTCCTTCCTCCTCCCTCTACTTGTGTATTTTCGCTTTTATGCTTTCTCATTTTGCAGTATTTCTATATAATATTTTGTTACTTTTCTGTACTTTTGAAGCATGGTTCTTTTATTATATTTCGTCTAATTTTTATTTCTATTTCGCACTGTTTGTATAAAAAAATTGTTATCGCACTTAATGTTTTACGCATTTTGAGTTTTATCTCATTTTTGACACTTTTTCTGTTTTCATTTTCGATTTTCTAACGCAATTTATCTCTTTTCGATTTGCCTAACGCATTTTTTACGCATTTTCGTGTTTTCGACTTTCGCATCGAATTTTGAGCATTTTCTAGATTCGCAATTTCTAATTCTCTCAATCTTCGGCTACTACGCGAATTACATTATGACACACACTGTTACATGATTATTGACATACACATATGGTGGGTTGAATATACACAGGATTTAACGGAGACAATTTATGTACACATTGTACATTTACACATATAACACACACATACACTCACGCTTTTGTGCCACGTGGCATCGTTCCTTTCTATAGACTATTTTTATTTTCTGAGACTTGTTATCGACACGTTAATGTATTTTGACCATTTTCGATTTTCTATCGCACTTTTGACGTTTTTTTGTTTCGCTTTCTAACGCAATTTTTAGCAATGAATTAAAATTGCGTTAGAAAATCGAAACATAAATGCAATTTTGACGCAATTTCTAGTTTCGCTTTTCGATTTTCTAACAGAATTACGGCATTTCTGTTATCGATTTTCTATCGCAAATTTGACGTCATTTTATGTTTTCGATTTTCTAACGGGAATTGTATCAGCATTTTTATAGTTCGCTTTTTTTAATCATCGCACGTTCTTTACTTTACTTTCTGAATTGTTCATCTTCTTCAATCTTCGCTTAACCCTATTAGAATTTGATATCATTACACACATGTTTACATACATGATTGACATACAATATTTGAATAAATACCACAAGATGTCACAGTACATGTTATGCAACATGTACATGTAACATATTAATGAATATGGCCATTCACAATCGGGCAACCAAGTGACAGCTCCTTGCCCAAGGGGGGGAACAACGCGCCGCCGGCGACTCGAACACTCGAATCTGGATTTGTCGACGGGAATGGCAGTCCCGATGCTCTAACCACCGTGCCAACCGCGCCCTCAATGTATTGTGCAGAAATCCTTAAATGTGAGAGGGCCCCTCCCCCGCGTTGCCTTCTTCACACACCCACACACACCACACAGAGAAAGGGAGAGAGAGAGAGAGGAGAGGAGAGAGAGAGAGAGAGAGAGAGAGAGAGAGAGAGAGGGGAGAGAGATGAGAGGAAGAGGAGATTTATATATGTGCTGGTCGTATGTTGCAGGGTGTATAGTATGAGTGTGTGCGTGTGTGTGTGTGTGGTGTGTGTGTGGGTTTCTGTGCATACATGAGTTGGTGTGTGTGTGTGAATGTGTATGTGTGTGTGTGTGAATGTATATGTGTGTGTGTGAATGTGTATGTGTATGTGTTATGTGTTGCTGTGCATTGTACATGAGTTTGCGCTTCGCGCGATGTGATGGTGTGTTGCTGTGCATGTGCGTGTGTGGGGTGTGTAATGTGTGTGCGTATACGGCGTGTGTGTGTGTATGAGGGTGCGTATACGCGTGTGTGGTGTATGTGAGTGTGCGTATACGCGCGTGGTAGTGCGGTTGTGTGTGTGTGTGGGAGTATGTGTATGGGTCCACGGGTGTCTGTGTGGTAATAGGTATGTTTTGTGCGGCTGTATGGCGTTTATGTGTAGGTGTGTGTGTTTGTGGTTGTGTGAACGGCGTGTGTGTGTGTGGAATATGTTTACGTGTACTTATGCATGTGTTGTATGTCGGTACTTTTCGTGTACGCCCGCGTGTTTTTATGCGTGTATGCGTATTATGTTAGCATGTGTGTGTGCGCATGTGTGATTGGTATGTGCTGGGTGTGCGTATGTGTATGTGTATGCGTGTGTGTTGCGGTGTACGTTGTGGTTGTGTGTGTATAGGAATCGCAGTTTGAGTGTGTGTGGTACAGGATGACGAGTGTTGTATCTGTTTGTGAGTGTGTCCATAGATGGGTTTGGTGACGTAAAGATATGAAAATAATTATGATTTTTTCTTTTTTTGTTCCACACTTGACGACCGTGACATAAACGGCCCCCGCCGCATGTGTGCGATACTTTCCTGGCTGGTGAGGGAGAGGGGAGAGGGACTGAGGAGGGGGAAAAGAGGGGAGAATGGGAAGGAAGAAGAGGAGAGGAGAAAGGAAGGAGAAGG